GTGTGTGCACGTCGCTCATAGTCGTTTAGATAGTATTTTGTATAGTCTGTTATAGTGAGTTATATCGCACTTCCACACTGACAGCGTATGTAATTCTAGAGTTATGAGCACTCAATGGATCATGTGCTGCTTTTCTTATGCGAATAGTAGGAGGTATACAAGTACAACAACAACATTGTATTATGCGATTGTACAGAGTGCAAATAGCGTCGCCTGTAAAGTCTATTCGGATATGTCGGTGTAGCTTGCTTCCTCCAGTCGAGGCTTTGGTGCAATTGTTGGGAAGGGTAAATGCCAATCCAGTTTATGGGAAGTACTTGAGTGTACTTAGGTAGCTGTGCAGAGTACCAATAGCATTTGTTCTATATTGGGAGATGTGGGTGTGTCTTAATTTAGTGTATCTAGTCGTGGCCCTTGACCATGCTCACAGCCAAGGCGTTCAGACCCGAACTTGCTAGCGCAACAACACATCCATCGATCTTCAATAGTTAGTGCGTGATTAACGTTTGCCGGCGCAACTGCGTGCCACGAATCGCCGACACCGGAATACCAACTCACTCCTACAACATCACAGTGACTGGGATTGGTATGGCGCTGCTAGCTCTCATGTGTGTCTCCACCCACCCCGTCTTCCGAGCGCTCACATATCAATATAACTTGTACGACACCTGTGCGTGGTGTACATCGCCGTACTTACTGTACCCTGTGCCAGCTAACCATCGCCTTTAAATCAGGACTGACCGTTCTCAACCATCTGACTTGCTACAACATCATGTGTGTGGCTCTCTCTCCAGAACCCCGCGATTACCGAGGACCAATACACGGACCACAACCTGCTACAGCTGTTGCACCGGACGGTCTTCCATCGCCTGGAGCGGGCCTTTGACATCAACCAGAACTTCGAACTGGCCGAGGTCATTGCGCAGTGGTCTGACCTGACCTTTATGCACTGCAGCTACTCGCTGTACACATACACGGCCATGCTCTCGCACTCGTACATACACCTGGATAGGAACCTTGACGAGAAACCCAACTCATACCCCCACTTGTACACCCACGCCAAGGGCCCCAGAGACGAGCCACAGCTGCTGGTGCGACAGAAAGGGTGGGTGCGTGTGCTGTGTGTAAGTTTGTGGGTGTATGGGTGGGTGTATGAATGATGGGTGCGTGTGCTGTGTGTAAGTTTGTGGGTGTATGGGTGGCTGTATGAATGATGGGTGCGTGTGCTGTATGAATGATGGGTGCGTGTGCTGTGTGTAAGTTGGTGAGTGTATGGGTGGCGGTGTGAATGATGGAGTGCGTGTGCTGTGTGTAAGTTTGTGGGTGTATGGGTGGCTGTATGAATGATGGGTGCGTGTGCTGTGTGTATGTTTGTGGCTGTATGAATGATGGGTGCGTGTGCTTTGTGTATGTTTGTAAATGTATGGATGGCTGTATGAATGATGGGTGCGTGTGCTGCGTGTAAGTTTGTGGATGTATGGGTGGCTGTATGAATGATGGGTGCGTGTGCTGTG